CCAAAACATAGTTTTAACTGTACTGTACATTTATGGTATGTTAAATATTTATGTGTCCATGCCAATGTACACACATATTTACACATAAGCAGGATCACCAATTTGCCATCAGATGAGCAGGCTCCCTGGGAAAGTTAAGAGTACTATTTTGCAGCATTTCCTTACTTTCATGGTGTGAATTCTTTCACCATGTCTGCTCTCAAGCTAGCAGCATGCAACCCTGACTGTGCAGTTGAGAAAATATCTTTTCATTCAAAGAGTATCTGTACACTTCATCAAGTATTAGAGCTTTTCTTCTCCAGCCAGTTTGATCTGCAAATGTCTATCACCCACTTCATTCTGATAGTTTAGCTGGATATAGAATTATGGTTGCCGTCTTCCCTCAGACCTTGAAGTTGAGAGAGAGGAGATAATACTTCTGATTTGGGAGTGGGGAGACCAAAGAAGGCTTCATAAAGGCAGGTAGGTCATGAAGAATAGAAAGCTAAAAAGACTGGGTTGGGAGAGGAGAATCTAGGCATACAGAACAGCCTAAGCAAAGGCACATAGGCAGAACAGCAAAGGTACATATGGGGGAGAACAAGCATCCAGGGAGGAAGTATTATAGAGTATATGAAAAGGAAAATTGAGTGGGTTGGGGTCAGAACCTTAGAGGATACTGGGGAAGGAGCTCTCTCTTTATTCTGTAAGCACTGGTCATGTGGCAGGTTTTGAACAGAGGATTAACATGATCAGATCCATGACTTGAGAAAATCAAACATTTGGTTTGCCCATTTCCTGAGTAAACAAGAACAGAGATTTAGCAAAAACAGAACAAAGGAAAACACTGCTATGAGTAGGAACTACAGTAGTGAAATCAAGTGGGAAAATATATTGCAATCATCAGGGAAAAAATTGTAAGAAAAAAAGCACAGCTTAGCTTCACTTCAAAAGAGAAGGAACTCTAAAATGCAACCCAGCTGGTGTGGGCTGGGCAGATGAAAGAGACAAAATTGTAAGAAATCAAGGTGGTTCACATTGGTTAATTCAACTGTCACCTGACCACATTTTCTTGAGGTAATTGCCACAGCTCTTGGTAGTTCCAGCTTTAGGAATTTTGTTAAGGAACTTTCATCGAGTGTTAGAGCTTTTCTCAAACAAGAGGAAGCTGACAATTCAGGAAGGAAAGTAGTTGACCTGGAAAGCCCTTCCCCACTTCATGGGCTCAGAGGCTTACTCATCCTTCAAAAGCCCGCTCCAGTGCCCTCTTGGACCTCTGGAGATGGTCCAAGTTCAACTTCACCCAGGGCAAAACCAGTGATTCTCCTCAATATTCCTTCTGTATTCATAGCACTTATTTTCTTAGTCATTTAATGTCTTGCTTCTTGGCAACACTGTGAGTTTCTTGAGGACACAGACTGTCTTTTTCAAAATTTTCTCCCCAGCATCTAGAAGGTACTCAGTAATTGCTTTGTGGAATTGAATTATGCTGCCTAAGATCACACAGATTTTAAGTATCAGAGTCATTCTTTCTAATTCCCAGTGCACTGCTCTTCCATTACACTCCAAAATTTGGAGCATTCATTCTGATTGAACTATTCATCTTTTTGTTATAGCTTTCTGATTCTGCAAAATAGATGATCCAGTACATGGCAACCCCCACTTATTACCTTGTAGTCTGTTAATAGGACTGCCATCAGTACTAAGAAAGAAAAGAGTGTACATGTATGTGAGTGTATACATGAGTGCATGCATATATGTGTGTGTGTGTTGGGGGAGGTGCCCATAACTTTAACCTTTCAAAACAAGCTCAGAGTCATAATCTTCTCTTCTTCAATGACTTCTCCCTTAGAGTCCTTCCTCTCACTATCTACAGTACCAAGGGTTCATACACAGATAGCTTAGGAAAGCTCGACTTCACTTCAGAAGACGGGTCCTCGGTAAAGATCATTTTTCACTCACTAAAGGGACCAGCTATAGGCACAGGAATAATCTTTTTAAATGCCCTTCATCAGCTCTGCCTGTTAGTCCATTGGCTCAGATTTCAAAATAGTATTTAATTATCTCAAGTGTTCCATGTCCATCCTGCATTCTCAGGCCAAACTTTGTTCTTCACTCATGGGAGTTCTGGATAAACAAAGATTGTATTTGACTTTTGCCTTTTTAATGGTCATTTTCAGTCCACCCCTGGCCTCCAGGCAGAAAGGCACTGCCACCTGTAAATGACCCCACTGTGAGCCTAGGTGGCCCCACTCCCAACTGGAAACCCTGTCTCACCACTCTCTTCAATTCTCCTGTCAAATGTACTTAGACTCTCAGGATTCTCTCTTCTTCTTTCTGGTCTTTCCCAGCCATGGGCCATGTTGGTTGACTCCCCTAACCAGTTTGTAGCGCTCACCTGCTCTAACCTGGCTGCTCTCCAGCACCTCCAGGCAACTCTAACACCTAAGACCTTTCAGTACTCAAGAAGTTATTGGGCAGTCCATGACCTTCCCCTCACCTTCCTGCTTCCAATCCTCTGGTCTAGAAATTCTCAACCTGGGCTTCATGTTAGAATTAATAGGGGAACGTTAAAAATACATCAATGACTGGGCCCTACTCCACACTAAGAGAATAGGAATAGCTAAGGATGAGACCCAGACAACAGCATTTTAAAATCTGCTCAGGGACATCCAGGGTTGGAACCACTAGTCTCTTTCTGAGTTGTCTGTTGTCAACTTCAGTTTCTTCCTCTTCAATAGTCCTTCTTTAAAGCTTCTATTATCTGTTCATTTACCCAAAAAATATCAGTGGAGCACTTACCCTGTGGAAGTCACCAAAATACACCCAAGACTCAGCTGTCATACCTGAATCCCACAGAATTTTTTTAGACATCACCCCACAAAACATAAGATTACTACTTAGACAAGAGAAAGATACAATCACATTTGGTGAATTACCCCTTAAAACTATACCTAAATTATACTCAAAATTATTCAAAAACTATTTTTACAGTCTATTTTTTGTTATACATAAGTGGAAGATTACTCATAGTCACGAGATACTCACAGTGGGTGACATATCTAACTACTTTGTATTTTACGTCCTGCTGTTTAGAATATTACACTAATTTGGCAGCATGATGTTTTATTACATAAGTATAAACATTCAAATATCTACTCATCAAAATGTACAACCATAAAAGAAAAGATTAATCACTTTGACTTTAAAATTACACCTTTGATTCACCAAAAACAAAAACAAAAGCAAAGAACACTAAAACGAAAAAGAAAAAAGATAGGTTTTAGCCTAAGAGGCAATATCTAAAATATTGAAAATATTAGTAACCAGAAAATATCACAAATTTTTTAAAAATATCAATAAAAAGACAACCAAAATAAAATTGGGCAAAAGATTTGAAAAAAAGGAATTCACAGGAGAGGAAATATAAGTATGAAGATGCTTAACCTCCTAGTAATTAGAAAAATACTGATAAAACCTTTGTTACAATTCACACTCAACCATTTTATCAACAGAATGGTAGAATAAGAATTCGAATACTCTCTACTTACAAGTCATTGGTGGGTATGCAAACTGGTTCAGCTACTTTGAAAAACGATTTAGGGATTTCTAGTAAAGAAGTGTCCATCTTATAATCCAGTCTTCTATGTGTTTCTCTAGCATATGGAAGGAGGCATTTGCAAGAATATTTGGAGCAATATGGTTTATAATAAAAAATATTGGGGAACAGCCTAACTAACAATTCCTTAACATTTGTAGCCAGAAAAAAAAAATAAACTTGATAAATACATGGAGGAGTACTCATACAATAAAATATTATACAGCAATAAAAATGAATCAACTACAGCTACTAATTCGAAATAGATGAATCTCACCACAACTAGATTAAACAACCACAAAAGAAATGCAAGTTTTAGAAAAATGCACACCTTATAATATCACTTAGATAAAGTTTTAAAATGCTTCAAACAATATGGGATACAGTTTAGGAATATATTGTAAAAGAACAAAGAAATGCTGAGAAATTCCCAGTTGAGACACACAGTTCTTCTGGTGATAAGAGGGTGTATTCAGGGAGAGAAAACCTAGGGTTTCAACTATATTGTTAATAATCTATATTTTTAAAGCAGTGAGGAATGAGTACACGGATTTTTTAAAATTATTGTTTCTCTCTTACTATTAGCTTGAATATGGCAAGATAAATACACTAAATTTTTTTGAGAAAGTCTGTTTCTATTTTTAAATTAAGTGAGCAATAACCTCTATATAAACATTCTACATATGGTATTTTTTCAGGAAAGTCTGTATTTGTTAATATAAGATGCTGCATTTAAAATTCCTTAGAATACAAATAAGAGGAAAATTATCCATTGATAATAATATATATGATAATACCTTTAAGTGGACTAATATACAGTGTATTCGTGCTGGGAAAAATCATTTAACAAGCCGTAATGATATACAGTAATTGAATGTGTTAAAAATTTTTTAATAATAAATAGATAAGAGTTTATCTGAAAGTTGGTAAAGTAAAATCCTAGAAAACTGGGCTGGGACTCTGGGGACCTTACTCAAGATGAGTAACAGGTCTGTGCTTCAATCAGACAAGAGGAGGCTGACCAATCCCCACACACATCATCTTGTATAACAGTCACAGCAATCCCACAAGCCCACAAGGGTACTGTGGGCCTATTTTTACAAAGAAGTTAAAGTTACAGAAAGGTTAACCAACTTGTCTAAGAGGAAAGAGTTAAGAGGATAGAGAGAGAGCCCTGCCTTACAGGGAGAGCCACACTATTATGTCAATTTATATCTCTACTTGTCCTCAAAATATCCTAGGATGGTGTACAAAAAGACTTTAAGTAATAGTTAAAATGATTTGAAAATAATATGGAAAGATCTAATTGAGAAATGATAAGCATGGGAAGATGAAGAAGTAGGGAGGTCAGTACCTGTAAGAGTCAATACATGTGGGAACAGCAGTTGGCATAATGGCTTTGTCGCTGGACTCCCATATGGTCGACTGCGGCTCGAGCTCTGGACCCAGTGGCTTAAACTTACACCAGGCACGTGTGAGTGCATGCCCAGGATCCCAAGAGGAGAATGAAGGAGAAGGGATTGCAGTGTGGCCATCCTCCGGGGGGATGATTTCTCACTTTCTGTCTCTCTGTCTCTCTCTGTCTTTCTGGTGAGCACATGTGCCCTACAGCAAAAAACCTCTCCAAAAAAAAAAAAAAAAGTCAGTACATGTAAGAGTTACTACAAAGTGGATGCTCTTGCAGAAGTGAAATTCTGGCCCAGGAGGTTGAGCTTCAAAGGGGAAGGTCCAACCTTGACCACCCCATGCACTGGACACTAGATGAGCTTTCTAGCACTGTCTTACATTGCTCCCCTCCCTTTCTCTCTCCTGCACTCCCACTGTGCACTACAGGAAACAAGGCTGTTCTTTCTTAAATACGAAAAGTCTTCAAAAGGTTCATGGAAAACATGCACTACAGAAAAACCATGCATGGTTTTCAAAACTTTCTGCACCAAAATAAACTCATACTCATCCATTTCTCCACCAACTATTCACGGTCCTCTCATATTAGACTCAAGGAGCCTCATTAGGCTGGTGGAAGTCAAGCTGCGATGTCCCACCTTGTTTGGGAAGCACTGAAGTGAAAAAAGATAAAAAAAAAAAAAAAAGCCATCCTCTTATCAGCCCTGACAAGTAAAAATAATGAAAATAATAAATAAACACAAAGTCATGCAGATGCTATCAGATCCAAACACAGAAAACTTGGCCAACACAATCTAGTGGAGAAACCACCTCCCTCGCTTTCCCTCTGCCCTCACCAAATATCAGATGAAAGAGAGAACTCATTTATACAATATAGTCAAGTTATCTACAGCCATAGGAAAAGAACTCAGCCCGATATTGATGATGCATAAATACAAGAAAAAATACACAACCCTTGAAATGACAACTGTGCAAAGGAGGCCAGCATAAGGGGTCTTAGAGAGAACTAAGATCAGAGGAGAAACACACACATATGGACAGGCACACACATCCACACACATGGACACACACACACACACACACACACACACACACACACTGATGTTATGATGAAGTCCAACACTTCCATCACACATACAGGCAAGAACCAAGGCATCAAGCTTTCATCAAAGTTCTAATCCCTAGGCTGAGTGGGTTTAAACATTACTTCACTCTCAGATTCCATGATCGAACCCAGAGTCTGACTGGGAGAACAGAGGAACGGAAAGGTGACAGCCTTCAACCAACTCCCTTCCTTTTATTAGGCTACTACTGATAGAACACACGGCCAGATGATCCTCAGCACGTGAAATGACATTGTGTAACAAAACTAGCAAAGAAGCATCCACCTCCTATTATTCAAGAGGCAATTATCTAGACTGTGGAAAAACCCAAGCACTCATGTCTAATCCTCTTCCATCCTGCGATATGCCTTCTGACGCCTTCTCCTCTCCGGAACATTAAATGAAGATGGGAGAAAGTGGGGAGGGACGATATTCAAATCAGTCAATTTTGCTACATGGTCAGCAGTTCTGGTAAATAGATTTGATGGGCAAGGAAACAGAAACCATCTGCTAAAAATGAGTTTTAGAGATTTCCTGTGGATTTCAATTATGCTTGCTGCCTCTGTCCTCAGTTTTATCATTGATAACCTAGACTTGCCTTAACAGAACAAGAGTAAATGTCTTTCCTGCTTGGCTCTAGAAGAATCTCCCACTAGAACCAGTGACTGGGAAGCAATTTGTAAATTTAGCCACATCTGGTACCCCACCAAGAATTCAACCACACACTTCCTGATTCTCATATGTTAGCACCATTCACGCTGGGATTAACCATGACCTTCAGTCACCAAGGCCAGAGATTACACAGGCCTCTGGGGAAATGAATCCTCGCCATGCACTTGTTTCCAC